GATTTGGTTATTGACATTGTTTGCGGGAGACATTGTGGTAAGCAGATGTAAATATGTAAGGAAGGCCGTGGAGCGTCCCTGATCCACACACACTGGATGTAATGTCGTGAGATTTACAGCTTGGGGCCTGCTTTAATACTGAAACTGTATTGGCGGCCTGGCTAGTCTATGATGTCTCTACGAAAAAAGAAAAGCAAGATAGAGCTCAGTGTCTGCAAGAGAGAGAACGAGACAGAAGAAAAGAGTAATGCATCGAAGCCCTGGGCATTTTAATTGTGATGAAAGTAGGTTAACCAGAGGGGATAAATTACCAGCATGTGGAATGGATGGGGGACTAGGGACCAAGTGAAAGGTCCTCCCTCTCACCTTGAATCCTAATAAGACACACGTGCCGGGGAGCTGCCAGGATCTTCTGGTTCCGCTCTTATAACACACCTCATCCAAGTGCTATTATGCAAGTGCAACTACAAAATGAATGATATTCATTACATAAATATTCCCAGTTTTGTTCAGTTGATGGTCGTTATCATTAATGTTAAATGCGGTTTGTGTGTATGTTCTCCTGAGATTCTCCTGTGTACTTCTGTTTGTAAACTATTTAGATTGTATTCCTTCATCATTCTTGTTAGATTTCAACCACCAACCAAGGCAGAATAACTGACCTACTTTCTCCCACCGCTCCCTGTGTGTGTTTTTTCCGGACTATAGCTTAAATGAGCAGTGCAAGGCACGTCATCCTGTGAGGAGGGTATTTTGGTGGAGTATGAGGGCATGGGATGGAGCCCTGCCCATACTTCCACCGTTGAGGGTGAGCTGTGCCAGGTCCCTACAAATGGTATGAGGATTTGGAAGAGGATTTTCCTCAAAGTCTCCCATCGCTGCTGGTCCCGCCCAGCTCCAAGTCTCCTGTGACTCTGCTGGTCCCGCCCAGCTCCAAGTCTCCTGTGACTCTGTTGGTCCCGCCCAGCTCCAAGTCTCCTGTGACTCTGCTGGTCCCGCCCAGCTCCAAGTCTCCTGTGACTCTGCTGGTCCCGTCCAGCTCCAAGTCTCCTGCGTCTCTGCTGGTCCTGCCCAGCTCCAAGTCTCCTGTGACACTGCTGGTCCTGCCCAGCTCCAAGTCTCCTGTGACACTGCTGGTCCTGCCCAGCTCCAAGTCTCCTGTGACACTGCTGGTCCCACCCAGCTCCAAGTCTCCTGCGTCTCTGCTGGTCCTGCCCAGCTCCAAGTCTCCTGTGACACTGCTGGTCCCACCCAGCTCCAAGTCTCCTGTATCTCTGCTGGTCCTGCCCAGCCAGTCCTTTGGCCCCGCCTCCACTGGCTCCCTCCAGTGCCATGGCATACCTTCAGCCATGGCTATTGGTTCCGCCCTGCAGCTCGTATTCTCCTCGGGCCTACCATTCTCCAGCTCAACCTTGGCAAGTGGATCCCCTGGCTCTGCTTCCAGCCACCAACCCTATCACTTCAACTCAGCTCGTCGGCCAGTTGGCTCCACCTTGGCTCCTCTCTCCCTCGGCTCCACCTGTGGCCGTCGTCCTTACAGCTCTGCCACACTCTTAAAAATAAAGGTGCCAGGAAGAACCAAAAAGGGGGTTTCACAGCGATGCCATAGAAGAAACTTTTTTGGTTCCCCAAAGAACCTTTCACTGAAAGGTTCCTTGAAGAACCTATTTTTTCTTAGTGCCATAAAGAACCTTTTTCGGTACTGCAAAGAACCCTTCTCAAAGGTTACTCCCGGACGAAGGCTTGTATGCCGAAACGTGTCGGAGTGTTTTAATAGTGTTGATTATGACCAAGCCATAGAAATAAAGGCTTTTTAACTTTTGTAAAGAGAGTGCCTTGGATGTCCCTGATGATTTCTACATGTTTTTTCTATCCAAAGAGCACCTCAAACTTATTCACTTGAGTCCAGGAAGCGCTTCTCTACAGACATTTGTTTATACCTTCTCAAAGGTTCTTTAAAGAACCTATAACAGTTCTTCATGTCACTTTATTAGGTTCTTTGTAGAACCATTTATAAAAAGGTTTTTTGACACCCATAGTAAACAAACATACAAAGAAAATGCAGGAATAAAAATAATTTTATTTTTATGGCCAAATGTATTCATTTCATGAATCAGACAAACATTTCATTGTACATTTCATTTAAATTTCAATGAATCAAACGTTTTAATTTAAAACGTGAAGACAGCAGAAACACTAAAATAAACCAGAAATCAGCAGAAAACAGACTCCACAATAAACTATACATCAGCAGAAACCAGACTCAACAATGAACCAGACTCTACAATAAACAGTCCACTCCAAATGAAAACTGCAAATTAAAGTATTAAAGAGATAGTTGGATGGATGGAGAGAACATGGTTAACAATGCCTGGTTTCTGTTTCGCTTATAATTAAAGGGATAGCTCACCCAAAAATGAAAATTATCTTCATTTACTCACCCCCGAGTTGTTCAAAACCTGCACGCGATTCTTGTTTCTGTTGAACAAAACAGATATTTTGAAGAATGTTGGTAACCAGACAGTTGATGGCTGCTGGTGAGTAAATAATGATAATTTTCATTTTTGGGTGAGCTATCCCTTTAATTGTAAGAGAAATAGCAGAAGACAGAACTGTACTACAGGGAATTATAGGGAATTATAGGGCAAAGCTTTGCCTGCTAGCCAACATTAGTGTTGATTAGTGTTTGTTTACTGTAGTTTTTGTAAGCTCTTGCTTTTGTAAGGCTGTTCACCGCCCCTTAGGAAAACTAGCCTCGTTTTGTGATCGATTACTGTTTGTATTACTATAGTTTTCCACCAAGTATCATGATTAAATGGTGTTAAAGCGTAAAGCATTGTTTATACTCGACACGTCCACATGAGCGCAAAGGTGCGCGCGGCAAAAATGACGTGATTGTAACAGCGCCCGCAACTCCGCATCCCCTAGACACCACTTACTACACACAAATTAATAAATAATAATGAATAAAAATGTTGTTTTTTTTCTCTGGTTTTGAAAACTCTTCGCGATCGACTTAAAATGCTTCCAAGATCGACTTGTCGACCGCGATCGACGGGTTGGTGACTCCTGTAAGTTACAACATTACTGTTTTACGGTCAATACTAATCAGCTGATTGTCAAAGCCATAACACAGCAAAGGAGAAGAACTAAGTTACATGAAACAATCCAACTACATATTTTACACCACTGACAAGGGAAAAGTCACTACTCACGGTGTCTATGGCCGGTTTAGCTTTCTGCGGCTTCTCTTTCAAGGTAGTGACGAAACGCGCTCTGTAGCGCTGTTTGTTCGCTGTCGGCTACGGTAGAAACATGACGTCACAATATGTCGACCTTCATAGAATGGGGCGGTCATGTAGATATAAATGTCCCATTCTAAGGTAATAAAAATATAACGGTTCATTGAGTAAGGTCTTTATACACCACTGAACACATAGTTATGGATCTTATATTGCATTTCTGTCAATAGATCCTCAGAAATATTACACATTGCACCTTTAAATGAAACACATATAGGCCAACTTAAATGAAACACAGCTGAAAACACCATTAGGTTCCGCTATAAAATGGAGCACCTTTCTTTTGAGGGTGTATTCTCTGAAGACAAACTTCTTTGTCATACAGTTGTAATTGAGCAGGCCTACAGATGACTATAGGAATGAAGTGATGACTATTCTATGGGAGGGCAGATGCCCGCCGTCCCTGGCAACAGTGAGAGACTGCACGGGCGTCACTAGTAGTTATGCAACTCGCTAACACAGACAGCCTAGAGTGAGAGAGACTGAGCGCTTTCATTAAGGACTCTGAGAGCTTGGCAGGGGTCTCTGCCATTTCACGTACAGAGAGCCAGAAATCACCCCACTGCTATTGCTAAAAATAAAGCTTTCCTTTCACTGATGGATGTGGTGACATAAAAGTTGTTTTGTGTTTACTTTTTTACCTTCTTATTCTCTTCCCTCTCGGGGTTCCTGAGAAAAGGTCCCTGGCTTTTTCAAAGCATGACAGGTTGATAGACAGGAATGGGTTCAAAGAATCCGTAACCTTAACACACAGCTGTCTGAGCGTCTTAGTGATCATACAGGCAGATGCCGTTGGATGGGAAACAAAGAATAAAGAATCAGATAGCCGGTTTCATATGATATTGATAAGAGTCATTCCTCAGATAGAAAACTATGGAAGCTTTCGAAGATATGCATCGGGGCCTTGGTGTAAAGCATTTAATGTTTTAATTTAATTTAGGTTAATTTAATGCTTTTTATAATAAATGATTTACAAAAAGTCAATTTTCAATCAATTTATTAAAATGAAAAACAACAACAACAACAACATGCGTATGTGGCTCGTAGACACTTGATCTAAAGTTAAATTTAATGCCAAGCGTTATAAGAACTTTGGCGCCCCCTGTAGGAAGCATGTATGTTTTACATAAAATACATCACTCCAATTTACTTTAATTAGAAATGTTAAAAAGTCCTGCATCTTAACGTTGAATATTTTGTTTATTTTATGATTCCTTAGGAATTGCTGTTTAAAAAAGGCCACACAAAGCCATGCCAAAACACACACATATCCAAACAAAAATGTACATCCAACAGATCCAATTCGTTAATTACATGTGAATGTATGTAAATCCATTATATATTTCAAACAAAGAAAGCCCATGGGGTAAACTCTTTTTTCATGTAAAATCAATAGAGATCTTTTTTTTTTTTTTTTAAACAAACAGCTCTCTTTAACTATTATAATATAATATAATATAATATAATATAATATAATATAATATAATATAATATAATATAATATAATATAATATAATATAATATAATATAATATAATATAATATAATATAATATAATCTGGGGGCATCTGGGGGCAACTTTCTTCGATACTCCACCAGATTTGCATCTGATTGGACATTTGATGCAGCGCTGCTGTACCTGTCCAATCATGTGACAATAAGGTGGGGCCTCGAACAGCGCTGTTTCAACTGTCCAATCAGCTGTGAGTAAGGTGGGGCATTAGAGCTAATTCACCGGGAGCGAGTGAGAGCTACAATCTGCTCAGACTCAACAACACGGTATCGGTATGTAAATATTCCTGTGCACTTGTTTTTAGCCTTGTCGCCGTGTTATATACAATACTGTCGACTTAATTTGCTTAATAATCTTGAATTATTTTCAGAGATATATGTTATGGGATAAATATTTAAGTTACATAAGTTACCATGAAACTATATGTCTAACATGTTGCAACAACAGGTTGTTGTAAGCGCGTGTGCTTTGTTTACATTGGCAGCAGGATATGTGTAATACGTGGCAAAAAGTTATCAAATATCTGAACACGCATATGGAAGATGGTTTAATGTGAAGTAGATGTAATAAGGAGACTTTTCTAGTTGTTTTTGTGCCATTGTTACATGATGAAGCATGTCTTGCTCATTTGACAATAGAACACAGCGGATTGTTGTTGTCTGATCAGCATTAAGATGATAATGAAAGGAAACGATCATATCTGATGATATTGTTGTGCGACACGAGCATTTTGTGCACTTCTGCAGCTAAAATTATTATTAAATTAAAAGTCCCAGTACTTAGCCTATTTTGTTGTTTCACTCATCAGTCTGCTACAATTGTATAATGCATACATTTATCTATCGTTGTCACATCTTATTTTTGATACATGTATGACGCCATTTTTGCATGTTCAGAATTTTTGAAGGGTTCATCAATGATTTTGAAGCCCCCGTAGTCACTAATTTTACCAAGGTTACCACAGTAAAAAAAGAAAAAGAAAAAAAAGTATAGGAACTTCTTGAAATGTGATGATTTCCGCATCTTTTCATAATTTTGTGAAAAAATCATAAAGACTAAATTTAATCATCTTTTTTTAGTGTCAGTATTCAGGCTGTCTTAAAAGTCCAGGTGATACTTTAAAAGGTTGATGATTCATGCTGCACGGCATAGATTTTTGTCCAATCAAATACTTTCTAAAGTTGCGTTTCTAAAATGCCCCATCTAATACCGCTTGCCCAATACCAACTTTTTTAAAATGAGACAATACCTTTATGTCCCACCCCAGTTTCTATAGGAAATCCATCAACAGAGAAAATAAAATGGTTCTTGTCGAGAAGGTCGTGGACAATACTAAAGTTACCAAAGTTTGTTGTAATCGCAAGCAATAACTAGTAACTATGTTAGCCTACTATGGTACAGAAACCGTGGTTACCATGGTAAATGTTTGTAAGAGGCGTTGAGTTCCTCAGGGAATAGTGAAACTGAAACTGCTTTGAAAAGCATGTGGAGGCGGTGGTGCCCATGTTTTTGTTGTTTTGTATAGTTATGTGATTAACATAGCATGTCAGAAACCTTTTTCTTGGTGAGTCATTGCTAGAACTGGACTTGTATGGTTTGCTTTTGTCTATAGAATTAGAAACACACGAATTGCAATGTCCTTGTTGGGATTTACCAGACTATGAAGCACCACTCTATTTTATTATCTAAAAATCTACTCATAGACTAGGCCTAACCCTAAATAAATATGACATTTGAGATATAAATCAATACATAATGAATGGACCCTGTATGAACCTTTGTCAGGTTTTGACATTGACATTTTCATCGACATTGACAAAATTTTGTTCCCACAATATTCCCACAAAATATATGTGTATTTTACCTGCCTGCATTAACTCAATTATATTTAGTCTCACTTAAGGTAAAAAGAAATGGTGTAGTTGTCAGCATACACTATTTATCTTCATACACAGGGTACATTACCGCAAGGTAAATGTGGCTATCCAGGGGTAAATGACCTTCATTTGCTGCATTTATTTGTCCCAGGTGGTGGATTGACCTTTTTACCTATACATGGATTCAGTTACTTGTATTTGTTTTTACTCGTTCTACTTGTTTTGGAACCGGTGGCAGTGTCTTTGAAGACTGAGCGCAGCAGGATTTTCTGGTAGTGTCTGGGAGATTATGGTGTTATTCATGTGAGCTTCGCTGCTCTGTAAACAGTTTCTCTGTGAACTTGGCATGAAGCTGAGAACTTTTGGGAGGCAGGGGGTTGTATGCGCTTTTTTATTAAAATCTAACCAGTCTTTGTTGTATTTTGGTGCATTGCTGAGTTTTAGTGAGACAGCCCAGCAAGCCCACTCCATGAGATAAAGCTGTAGGGAATGGCAGAGTCTCTCTTGCCAAGCACAGTACGGGACATTTGCAGGAGTTAAGGTGGCTGATCTGGCTCTGCACTGGCCCCTTTAAACCTGCTGGAACCATTAATGCCAGTGGTTAGTGAGGGGGGACAAAGTCCTTACCATATACACATTTCACAACAACAACAACAACAACATAATCTGGCTTGACTGATGCAAAACAAAACTTGACCACTCAAATCTTGATCACTTCTTCAATTATAATCAAGCTGTCTGGAATCAAACACCTGTTTTTGTCACATTGCAAAACTACTCCAGCCACATTATTTCCCCCATTTACTGAATTGTTTTAATATTTTTTTATTTACAAATATCATACTGTATGTCTGATGGAATGCTATGAATTTTATCTGTCATATATTTTGGTTGCTACACCAAAGACCCAGTGTTATTTAAGGGTTATTTTTTATACTATTATAGTATTTATTAATATTTTGAAGTAGCTGATATTTTAATATTTTATTTTAGTTCCAGTTGTAGTAATTGTGCTATGTGCTTTTTCATTTTTTATTAGTTTTTGTCTTAAAAATGCACTCCTCTGACTCATTAGACGCTATAGTAAATAATGTTTTTCTTTTCTTCTCATGATGAGATACACCTGATGCTTGCGCTCTGCTACGGTCACATATGTAGACTGTCCGTGACCACCATGCATTTTGAGGTCCAGGTGTGGCTTGACATTGCAGCACCACCACAAAGATAATAACTGTTTATTCCTGCATTTAGACACTTTGTTTTTCCTTTTTGGTTTGTTTGTCTTTACTCCTATCCTCCTATCCACATGTACTGCGTGATGCAAATTCACTTAGACTGTGAGCTCTGACAGCAGGAAATTATGCAGTGTCTATAAGCACAGTCTGAATAATGATGTCATGCATGATCATGAGCTCGCGGATGGTCGTGCGAGTGAGAGATTTGACACAGTAAGAGAGTTTTGCAGGCCAGCTATGCCAAACGTCCGAATATTGTGCACATATCTTGAGGATGACTGCATGCACCACTGACATAACTGACAGACTGCCAAAGCCCAAGCCTGTTGGAGTCTGAGAAGTGGATGGAAGTTTTGTAAGATTTTTCAGCTGCACACATTGGTGTTGCTTTGAAATTTTGGCTGCACACTCTGAAGGCTCCAGAGAGCAACTAAAATGGCCAGAATTCAAAGTTTTCACAATAATTTAAAATCTAGTCAGATAGTGGAATTTCATTTGCATCTGTGTGTGTTTGCCAGATTTGATTAAGTAAAATTGTCTGGGTTTTGTCACTTTGGTCTGTTTATTCTTGGTTTGGTGACAGAGCTCGGACACTCCTATTGTCTTGGGATAGTTAGCATGCGGTTCCGAGTTTGCTCATGACAACATGAGTTGTTTGTTTTATGTGCGGAACGGATGGTTTTTGGATCCCTGCAATAGTTTGGTTTTGGTTCTGTGTCAGGGTTCGGACATTCATGCTCCGTTTGTTTGTCTTCTGTGAGCACACAGGATAAGCATTCATTTCTTATTTAGAGTATCATTCCATTAAAAAAAATTTATTCATAATTTAGGGATAGTTTGCCCAAAAATTTTAATTCAGTTTCTTTACATTTACCGTACTCACCCCTGTGTCGTTTCAAACATGTATGACTTTCTTTCTTTTGCATAACATAAAATAAGATATTTTGAAAAATGTTGATAACCAAACTATAGGCCTATCTAAATACCAATTCCGATGCAGCTTCTGAAAAAAAAATCATGGCCGATGTAACCTAAAAGTTTTTTGTAATAAATTCTGTTGAATCAAATTAAATATTTATTTCTAAAACTACTTTTTGTAATGTCTATGATGCTTTTCTCATTTCACACAATAATGACTTTAAGGCCTGGTTTCACAGACAGGGCTTAGATTAAGCCAGGATTAGACCTTAGTTCAATTAGGACATTTAAGTAGCTTTTATTAACATGCCTTAGAAAAAACATTACTGGTGGTGAGCATCTTGAGACAAAACAATGGCAGGGACATAAGATATGTCAGTGCAAGTTGCTTTCAGTTAAAACAGCTCAAACATGCATTTTGTCTGAGACTACTAGGCTTAAAGGAGTAGTTCACTTAAAAAAAAAAACTTTTGCTGATAATTTACCCACCCCCATGTCATCCAATATGTCCATGTCTTTCTTTCTTCAGTCTAAAAGAAATTAAGGTTTTTGATGAAAACATTCCAGGATTTTTCTCCATATAATGCACTTTACTGGGCACCAAGCGAAACGATAGGTCATTTAAAAAATAAATAACAGTCACGATAGGTCATTTAAAAAATAAATAAGAGTCACGAACGTGCATCACAGAACAGAGCAAGGCGAGCATGTGAGCTTATAAAACTTAAACTTTTTTTTATTTTTTTTTTTATTATATTATATGAACTTATTCATCGTCTGGTGTCATTTAAAACCATTTGAACAGTTTGCAGTTTGCACTGAAACTGTCATTTGGACCTTGAACCGTTTGGTGCCCATAAAGTGCATTATATGGAGAAAAATCCTGGAATGTTTTTATCAAAAACCTTAATTTCTTTTCGACTGAAGAAAGAAAGACATGGACATCTTGGATGACATGGGGGTGAGTAAATTATCAGCAAAAGTTTTTTTTAAAGTGAACTAATCCTTTAAGCCTTGTCTGTGAAACCGGGGGTGAATGATCTTTTGGGGGTAATTTCTCAGCCAAATTTGATGTGCGATTACTTAGATTAGGCCTAATTAATCGGCACATCATGTAATTAATTAGATTAAAAATTATATTCGCTTGACAGCCCTAGTATTGTATTTTTAAAAAGTGTCTCAAAGTGTAACAAGTAGTTACAAAAATAGTTACTGTTTAGCATTAATTTCCTAAAGACCCTACTAATTCATAATTAGTTTTGTGTTTTTTATTGTTAGTTTTCAGGCCATTTCACAAGAGAAAATGGTGGTAACTCAAGTTGTTTGACTTTGTTTCGTTTAGGACCTGAAAGCCCTGTTTATTTGTTAGCCCTGTTAACATGGTTTTATTTTTGTCATGTTAATACTTGACTCAAATTTATAAGTAAGAAGAACCTTTTAACTTTTAAATACAGTTACGTGACCGGACAAGAAATGGCTGAGGAATATAGTGCTGATAGACAGCATCCAAATCAGTAAATGACGGCTGTTGTTTTTCAGTGAGTATGGGTGTTGTGAGATGTTGATTGAATTCGGTAGTTGGAGGGAGGTGCTTGCTTTGTTTGGTGTGAAAAAGGGGGCTGAGGAAGGGTAGCGTATAGCCGGATTGTGAATGCAAAGGAGATTAATCAGAGCGAAAAAATGTTACGGAATTGGCCCCAATTTACTAGATTGTCCAGCACGTCCAAGTGTGTTTCCTCTATTAAAGTGTGTTTCCTGCATGGTCTTGATTTAGGAGAGAAAATAGGCCCCTCTCATGTGTAAAAATCCTGATCACAATGGTTCTCAGCTTTTGTTACTGTGCCTTTCCTCCTTTGTGACCTTTGAAGGGCATCGGTGACTTTAAGGTGGTGCATTCGTCACCCAGTTCCTTGTGAACACTAATGAGACATTAGAGTGCAGTGGTCCTTGACACAAACTTTGATTATATTTACAACAACACACTGCTTTAATCTATGACGTTGCTTCTAAGAAGCCAGAGGGGCAGTAGTAGCTCTTTGTGTTATAAATAGTTTTCAGTCAGACATTTATCAGTAGTCTTTCCTGTGGCTTCACACAGCCTCCATCCGGTATAGAAAGGCGCTGTCGGGGCATGTTGTTTTCTGTTTGGCAGTCAAAAACACTTACACAAGCCTTCTGTGTTTACTGCTGTCAATTCTTGCTGTCAAAGCCTCAAATTTGCAACCTTTTTGTTTTCTCAACAAATGCAAACATAACTCATCCTGTAAAGCCAGTAGAGCAATCCTGTAAAGTAGAACGAATCTTCATTATTTTGAATGTTGTTAAAACTATTTTGTGCCCACTCATTGTGTCAAAACCTGCATGAAATCATTAGGACAGACATTTTAATAACATCTTATTTAACATAAATTAGCAAAGTTGAAAAGTTTGATCAATTTCAAATCAGCAAAAAAAAAAAAAAAAATCAATTATCAATGGAAGTTCACAGGTGACATTTCAGATGCATAGCTATGTTTTAATAAAAACAAAATACAGATAATTATCATTTATTATAAATAACGTTTGGGGTCAGTAAGATTTTGAATTAATACTTTTATTCAACAAGGAAGCATGCAATTGATCAAAAGTTACATTAAAGATATTTATAATATTACAAAATATATTCTATCTCAAATATATATATATATTTTAACTTTTTATTAATCAAAGAATCTTGACAAATCACAGTTTTCAACATTGACAGGAATAAGAAATGTTTCTTGAGCATCAAATCCACATATTAAAATGATTTCTGAAGGATCACATGAAATGTATAATGTATACTGTATTTATATTTATGTTCTGTTTAAAAACAGATTAAACAAACCTTGTTTATTGTAATTATTTTAAATATTTTGACTCTTGATAGCAACAATAACTTGTTTGGCCAGTAGTTTAAAGGAAAATACCTTCGTATTAAAATGGATCAAATCCCCAATGAATAGCTAATGTTTTCTTTTTTCTTCTTAAGCCTTCCTTAGGTGGGCATGGCGTTCAAGATTTGTTGGAGTGAGACAAAGTTACAAGGTGCAAGCAACTGAAGACACAGGACAGAACAACTCCCCATGGCTGCTACAGCCAGTAGAAGAACTGGAACTCCGAGACCGGGGTGGGTCGCTTTTTCAGATGAGGAGTCACAGGCAGGTCAGTACAAACACTGTCTTTACTCACAAGTCACTAGATATTTTGTGGGTTCAGTTTTCTGGTATCAAACATGGTAAAAAAAAATGTATACCTTGAATACTCTGCTGATGAAAGTAATAAATGTAAATGTAAACTTACCTATTTGACCAGTCAATAATAGACCTTCTTTCAGAGATAATCTTCAGTCTTTACAATGTTAGGTACTGTATAAAGGTACTAGGTCATGTAATTTTCAGAACTCGCAACTTCCAAAACTGTTTCATGGAAGTTTTGTCTAAGTGTTTTTGGAAAGATGAACAATTTGTCAGCTGAACAATTGGCATGTTGTTAAACTGCAGGACAAACCAATTGAACACACTGTACTTCTATCCCTCACAGCCTTATTTTCATTCGTGTAAAAAATGTATAATGGCACTACCCTGACTATCTCAGTTTTACACAATTGGAAAACCTTGTCCAATCTTGGATAGGATTGTTGAATGTTACTTTACATGGCAAATAAAGGCTATAGATGACGTTCTTGTACCTAATTGAAAAATAGTTTTGCACCATTCATAAGGAATTATAAAGACATGTAACCTTTTGTGGATTGGGTATCAGTTTGTTTTACTCTGTCTGAGTTTTGTGTTCAGACCTTTCCGTGAGATTCCTGTGTCCTTGGGTCATTGCTCCATAGTGATTACTGCGGGAACGGTCCAGAGCTCTTGCACCCTGCTAGATTTAACATTCAGCTGTGACATTTCAACTGAGCAGAGGCTGTATTTCACTTACCGTGTTTGTGTATTGTTTCTTCTGCTCTGTAGATGAGGACCACCTCCAGCCCTCTTTAGACCAGCCTGTGCTGGACTCCTCTACTTGGGCAGAAGTACCATGTGTGCCTGGCAACAAGACAGAGCAGACGAATTCCTGGGTTCAGTTTGATGACAAACCATGGTCACCCTCTCCTCCTCCCTCAACGCAGGTAAAAGGTATGAGAACTTCTTAAATCAGTTTATTTTTTATTGCATAAAAGGTGGAATCTCACTTTGGGATTCACATGCTATGCTCCCTAAAGGTGATGATACACAGGGCAACTTTTTGAGCAAAGATCTAAATGATCTAGATAGAAATGTATTGCCCATTTTCAATGGGAAAGTGCCCAAGCAACAATCGCTCGGCAAGATTGCCCAGCAACATTGCTCAAAAAGTTGCCCTATGTATCATCACATTAAGGGATGTTCAGGATTCAGTACAATACAATCCATCATCCTTTAGTTTGTTTAAAAATCATTGACAATACTAGAAAACAGGGAAATGCAATGCAAACAGTTTCGAAAGGGGTCATATTGTAAGGAAATAAGATCTTCTGAGAAAAGAGTTCTGTAAGGTTAAGGATTCCAGTCTTAAAACAAACTTCCGACCATTTGTTGAAACTGCCCTGCTTTTTTATATATTTTTTTTTATTAATTTTTTAATAAGGAGTTCATGTAAGTGCATGTACAAGCTTCACATTTCTGCATTTCCTCTGTTTCATAAAATTAGTAATAAGTTTCATAATGAGACTCAAAATAAACTCAAAATAATGTGAGACAGATGCTTCCTCAACAAGTGAGTACGTGACTCATGATATTGACAATTCCCCTGGAGCAACCTGGGGTTATGCCTTGCTTGAGGGCACAAAGGCAACCTTTCAATACCAGCCTTGAGCTTCTAACCATTACACCACACCCATTTCAACAAGGATTTCCCAATGTTTCCAGTTTTCCTGAGAAACATTATTCTACTGATTCCTATAAATAAGTTGACTTAGTTGGGTTGGGCTGATTAGGACTGTGTCACTTCCTTTAGGCCTGAGACTTGGTCTAGTCTTGCCTGTCTCTGTTTATCTCTGTCTGTCTCTTTTTTGCACACATTGACTCACCCACCCCCACTCTTGTCAAAGCCGGCAGCTTTGCCAGCAACTCTTTCCCAGGAAATCTCCTGTGAGAGGCCGGGTGCAGCAACACGCAAATGACCAAACCCTTCAAACCCTAATTGAAGCCATAAGCAGAATTTTCATCTCAGTGTTGTTGCTCTTGCATGAAATCTGACTATGGATGAAGTCCAGGGTGCAGCCAGTCTATCATTCTTTCATAATATGATCACAAAGAGATCAAGCCTGGGTTTGTTAAAGTACTGCTTATTTACTCTGATTACAGGGGCTGTCCAACATATGATTTCAGGTTTGATGCCTTTATTTCCATGTGTGGTCTAGAGGAAGGTTTAGCAGCCAGGAAGCCAATGTCATATGTTGGGTTTATCCAACCACAGTGTCTTAAATTATTTATATTCAAAGGCATCCAGATTCATATTATTTTACATCAAATTAATTCTAAGGGGGGGGAAAGAAAAGAGTAAAAGCTGTTTATCTTTTATTGCTAATGCAGCAGAAACCTCACGTTGCCATGGTTATATTAAATAAGTATATTGTGAACATAATGGTATAACCACTGTCCACTTTAGTGGCATGCAGCCATATATATATCTGAATAATAGGAAGGGCCCACCAGCTAAGAACGTATTGTTGCAAAATCTTAAGATATTGTATCTTACAATATGTTACCCAGTTGTAAAGTCACAAACAATAAAGACAGAAATGAACTTTTTATACATTTATATCAATTTAGGAAACAACAAACAAACAAAACAATGCATTTATATGAAAATAAATTGAAATTAAACCAGTTCAACAAATGAAAACAATATCCACTCTCATGGTCTATAAAGAAAGACTTAATCAGTAGAAAAGAAAATTACAAATGAAATCTTATAATTGAATGATTCTTTGAGTAATTAAGGGAATCACTACAAAGAAAATTGAATGTCCAAAGCAAAAAAAAAAAACCTTCAAGTGCTCTTCCAGTAGTCCAAGGAAATCCATAAAAAAACTAGATAGCCCACAAAATCACAGTCTTGTACTTAGGATATTTGTTAATCCACATGGTAATGCAGTGATATCAATCCATTGGTTTAGAAACCACTTGACGTCCATTTCAGTTGGGCCTTAGCAATTCATATGGACTCAACCGTCTCAAAATATAAAGTAACGTATAAAGAGTCCGTCTACAACAAAAAAAGAAAAAGATATCTATAGTACTATTATATAAATCAAAATGAAAAACAATTACACAACATAAGGAGGAACAAAACTTACATGATTGAACTGGAAACAATGTTTCTCAATCAGGACTCCAATAAGTGTTGCAGGAGGTGCTTGAATAAAACCATGCTTCCCTCTTCCAAACAACTGACTTCTTCTATACTCCCATCCTTTTAAATACCAGAGGTTCTAACGCTCATGAGCCCCCCTAGTGGTGAGTATGATATCACAGTAACAGCTAATACTGTTACATACCCCTCTCCTCAGAAAGAGATTTGCCATAACCATGACAAATCTTAAGATTTTGCACGTGATACGTTTCAGTACTGTCTGGATCAGAAATAAAAGAAACAGAATAATTAACTGGCCCTAACTTTTTGTTAACTTTTGCTGGCCCTTTCCACTTAGCAGACAGCTTAGCCATGAATCCTTCATCGGCTCTAGATAAAGGATGTGTCCGTGCCCAAACCACATCTCCCTCTTGGAAATGCACTGGCTTACGATGCTGATCATAGTATCGCTTTTGCTTGGCTTGAGCTCGGTTCACATTCTCTTTCACAATAGCAAGGAGTTCTTGTTGTCTGTCAAGGATGGGATATGCAGGGTTATTAGGATCAGGCGGTTTAGGTAAGGCTCTCTCCATTGGACCTTTTAATTTACGTCCAAGCGCTACTTCAGCAGGTGTAAAACCTGTACTTTCGTGGTAGGCTGTATTAATAGCAAACCTGAATTCGGCGATCCATCTATCCCAAAACTTATGGTGGTCTCCGACGTAAGAGGCAATCATGGTCTTCAAGTTTCGATTGACTCTCTCTGTCAGATTTGTTTGGGGATGGTAGGCTGTGGTCAGTTTTTGAATGACTCCCCACTGCTTGCACTACCTCTCTTTCTACCATGTCCTTCTTCCATCTCAAGCACAGAGCTCGATAGTGAAAAGCAAAGTCTCTGAAACTCTCTTGCACCTTGTCTTCTCTCCATCAGCTTCCTTACTGCCAACTCTTCATAATCCTCACTGAGAAAAGATAGCAGAAATAATTTTTTAAACTGTTTCCAATCACGGACATTCCCTTTCTCTGCCATCCACCAATCTTTTGCAGTATGTTTAAGTACAGCAGTTAAAGAAGCTAAAATTTCACTATTCTTCAAAGGTCGAACAGCGAAATACTCCTCACATCGTTCGATGAATAAGATAGGATCTTCATCCGGGCTATTGCTGAAACTAGGGAACTCAAGTTTGACTGGTGGGTTGTACTGGTTTGAACTGTCCATGACAGATTGATTATTTGACTGAAGACTGTAGGTTTGATCTCTCAGTGATCTGTGAACAGTACTGGTATTCTTAGGCTGATTTGGGGTGGATATAAAAGGCTGGAAAGCTTGTAATCTCTGTTCCAATTGTTGGTCTCTTCTCTTCAAACAGTCTAGCATTGACTGTCCAAGATCTTGAATGCTCAGTTCTAGATGTTTTTTCACTCTGCTGCACTCACGGTCTATTTGGTATAACAATTTATCTTCTGTAGCTTTGCGTTGCGATTCAAAATCAATGAAGGAAACTTGTTCACTCACACGTTGATTTATGTCGGTAATCTGCTCCTCGAGTTTGGTGAAACGTTCTGTGAGTTGTTCTAACATATCTGAAACAGCTGTGGAAGGATGGTGTGTCGGTTCTGCATAAATTTCAGGTGGTGGTGGAGGTAGAAATTGGACTTCCTTTTGGTCGTCGTCCACAATTTCTTCCTCCTCTGAATCAAGGTACAGATCACTGAACGTATTAATCAACTCTCGTAGTGGTTCTCTGTGGGTGCTAAATGGTGCAGATGAGAAATCTGTATTGGGTACGGGCTCATCCTCATCCAACACTTCTAGACTAGCCATTTTATTTATTTATTTACTAACGTGTAAGGGTTTATATGGTGACAAACACTGGAATATTTTCAACAACCTATATGAAGTCTGGTGGTCCCTGTTCGGGCGCCATTTATATAACCACTGTCCACTTTAGTGGCATGCAGCCATATATATATCTGAATAATAGGAAGGGCCCACCAGCTAAGAACGTATTGTTGCAAAATCTTAAGATATTGTATCTTACAATATGTTACCCAGTTGTAAAGTCACAAACAATAAAGACAGAAATGAACTTTTTATACATTTATATCAATTTAGGAAACAACAAACAAACAAAACAATGCATTTATATGAAAATAAATTGAAATTAAACCAGTTCAACAAATGAAAACAATATCCACTCTCATGGTCTATAAAGAAAGACTTAATCAGTAGAAAAGAAAATTACAAATGAAATCTTATAATTGAATGATTCTTTGAGTAATTAAGGGAATCACTACAAAGAAAATTGAATGTCCAAAGCAAAAAAAAAAAACCTTCAAGTGCTCTTCCAGTAGTCCAAGGAAATCCATAAAAAAACTAGATAGCCCACAAAATCACAGTCTTGTACTTAGGATATTTGTTAATCCACATGGTAATGCAGTGATATCAATCCATTGGTTTAGAAACCACTTGACGTCCATTTCAGTTGGGCCTTAGCAATTCATATGGACTCAACCGTCTCAAAATATAAAGTAACGTATAAAGAGTCCGTCTACAACAAAAAAAGAAAAAGATATCTATAGTACTATTATATAAATCAAAATGAAAAACAATTACACAACATAAGGAGGAACAAAACTTACATGATTGAACTGGAAACAATGTTTCTCAATCAGGACTCCAATAAGTGTTGCAGGAGGTGCTTGAATAAAACCATGCTTCCCTCTTCCAAACAACTGACTTCTTCTATACTCCCATCCTTTTAAATACCAGAGGTTCTAACGCTCATGAGCCCCCCTAGTGGTGAGTATGATATCACAGTAACAGCTAATACTGTTACAATGGGATTTATTGACAAAAAATCATTAGAGCACATTTGGATCTATCTGAAGTTGTGATTATGGTGATATCAGTGGTTTGGGAACCCTCAGGAAAAGGAGTGTTAGGTGGAGTAATCCCACATGTACGCATTTTTTCTTTTCTCATAGACTGAGAATATTATTCAAATCTTTAGAACTTTTCACTTGAAACATTGAGATTCCACTTATCACTGTCAACATGGATAAATTAAAATGTTTTGTTTTTAAATGCATTGAATTTGGTTCGAAAACTACTAGTAGTGTAATAGTATATGTGAATGAACAATGTTTACTTTTTCTCTCTGTTACTTGGATCGAAAAATGCATGTTTATTTGTCAGCTGAAGTCTTTTGTTCTGAGGCAGGTTGAGAGTGAGGAGGAAGTGATCTGAGGTGTGCAGCAGAGTGACCAGGTGTATGGTCAGTGGAGCAGCAGCTCGTGTAAATCAGGTCTAATTGGTTACCTGATTTGTGAGTAACCGCAGTAGATACTCGTTTGAGGTCGAATGAGGCAAGCAGAGTGTGGAAATCAGCAGTCTGAGGCTTTTCTAGGTGGATGTTGAAGTCTCCAAGAACTACGAGAGGAGTGCTATCCTCAGGGAAGGATGAGAGTAGCACATCAAGCTCCTCCAAGAAACTGCCAAGTTGACCTGGTGGATGATAGACAACTACAAAATGGATTTTAATAGGCCTAGTGATGTAGTGAAAGAGAGGTCACAAACAGAAAGATGAGAAGAAAAGTTGGTAAACAAAGAGAGAGTAAACAACAAGAAAATAATACTCAAGTGCCTTGTCCTTGCTCGGTGGAGTCGCGCAGGTAGAGTCGCTGGTCTTTACACTCTTCGGTCTTCACACGAGGGCTGCCGCGGTACTTGCTTTATACTCACCTGAAATGTCGTTATTGAATACAGCTGGACACGCCTTTGAAGCGAAACTGTTTACCTCGTGACTAAACGTGAACAAACGAGACTTCACCAACGAGATTTCGGCTCGTGAGCACAGTAAACAAACACTGTTTCCTAGTAACTACAAACTGTCACCGTCCCGTATACGGGACGCCTAAATTTACCTCGCTATATTACTATTAAATCCTAATCTAATTATGACAAACTATATATGGTTGGAAAGGTCTAAGACTCCTAAATAGATATTTGACTGCTGTTTTTTTGCTACAAATTATGTAGGAAGAGTAACCGATGATTTTTTGACAAGAGTGCACGTCAAAAAAATCTGCGTCATAACAGGAGTTCTGACCTTTGTCACAAAAAGTTGACGCAGACACCTTTAATAATTGAAACTTTGGTTTTCATGCTAAAAGTTCATAATAAAACATATCATCTTTCAATAAAAGATTATTCTTTCAATTTTTCAATAAAAAATGATAATATAATATTATCGTCTAAAAAGTATAATATATATATTATCCTCTAAAAAGTATAATATATATATATTATCCTCTAAAATATAATATCTTTTTATCAGGCTCCTCCCCTTTTGGGCTTTATTATATTTCATAATTTATGATCCAAACCTTTTCTAATCTTGACAAAACACATATTGTCAAAAAGGTCTAAGTCTCAAGGTTCCAAATTTTGTGACAGAATTGATATTTGGACAAAAATGTATTAATTTGTTAAGGCAGAATTATCAAACTAAATTCAATGGAATGTATGTCACCCGGTGGCTATTTTTGGTACTACGCCAAAACAAAATCTCATGGGAACTTCAATTTTTGTGATATCAACTTCAAATTTGGAACACTACTTGGTTAGATGTATAGCTTTGATTTTATAGTAATTTTAGAGTAAAAAATATTTTGTAAAATATATATTTTTTACAAAATAAAAAAAATATAGTACAGTATATTTGATTTACTGTAAATTTAAACTTCCATAACTTTTTCATACTTTCATTTTTTGAAGTGTTTTCACTTCAGCAATAATCTGCTGAGTGTTTCCTTTAAAACAAGACAGAATTTAGGTCTATATTCCAAAGCATTCTTGAATTACAACTATTTAAGTTTGAATAGTGCATTTTAACCCCCATTCTCAAAAAGGGGGCTGACAGCGAAGGGGTTAAATCAAATGAGAAAAAGATACAAAACACTTACAGTTACTGTCACCTCCCGTTGCTTGACTGCTTCTTTCTAATAAGTGCTACAAAACACACTGTAGTGCGAGCTGGCTTAGGCCACGCCCAAAGGTGTCATAAAACAGTGTTTGTAGTCATCCAGTTAGAAATGTTGACTACAAACACGTTTTTTCAGATTTTCTGTTGCTGCGTTCTCTCCATATTTACGATCCTTTGCAGCCTTTAGCCGCTGCCTACAATGTTCTGGATCCTTCACCGTACCGAAAGTAACTCGCTCTTGCTAAATGTTTATTCTTGCACCCGGGAACTATAGTTGACACCATTATAACTAAAAGTTTGCTAAGAAGTATTTCCTACTAAAGCAAGGTGGTTTTTGACTCTGGTCAAGCGTATCCATAGCAGACTAATGGGAGTGGCCTTGGATTTAAAAACATTTTTTTACACATTTCTACTGCATAGGCAGCCAAGTTTTATTGAAAGCCCATATTGCCAGTGATGAAGTACCCCTTAAAGAATTTAAACTAATTCAGTTTATTAATTTGAGGTAAGAATCATCATAATTATTTCAATTTGCATTGTCATCATGGGTGCCAATGAGAACAAGAATTAACTGTTTTAAAAAGGGGATTTTTGTTGGGCATATTAGTGAAAAGCAGGTCATTTTGTCATTTGCAGCATCACTTGTTTTCTCTCCGCATCAGTTGTGAAGACACACTAAGATTGTATTCCTTATATTTTCCTTTGGTGACTTAATGTGAGGAACATTCATGGAGTTCTGTAGAAATCAAAAAGTTTTATGTTCAATTTTAAAAGTTGTTGAACTATCATTCTTTGTAAGTTGCTTTTCCTAGTAAACATATCGCCATGTTTTATTTATTCGCCAAAGCAAGTTTGTCTCTTGTTTTGCCCTTGGCAAGTAATATTCACTATATTCCTCTTAGTTGTTAGTTGACTGTACTTTAATTTTTCAAACTGATGATGCAGTCGTGTCTTAGACTTATCATCATAATCATATGACACATCATCTTTTTTGTCTTTGTCACTGTGATACTCACAGTCAGATGATGTCATTTCATTGCTTCAAACCACTTCTCTGATGTTTTTCTTCTTCTTGTGTAATAAAGGAAAACATTTACATGATATCCGTTCTTTATCCATTTCAACCCATGTCCCCAATTATTTAGATTTTTCTTTTAACATTGACACGTTCTTCTTTATGCTGTAGGTAGGGCATAAAAGTTTTAAAGAACTACTTTTGTGAACTCTTTTAATTGAGCTCCAGGGGAAAATCCATTGAAAGGGAATAAAACCCTGTATGGTTGGATTTGTTGCTAGGCAGTGTACACATCCTGCTTGGCATGTTTCTGAATCCCAATTGTTTGTTTAAGCATCAAAGTTGCCTACATGTATTGAAAGAACTGGAAGTGTGTCATCTGACTTTATATATTTACTCCAACCTGAATCTAGAACCATTGTTGTTTGAAAGCATTATTCTATCTACATAGTAATTCATAACATACAAAATGTGTCCTCTGATAGCAATTACAGCAGTGCTAATTAAAATCATTGAGTAGATTGATTCAATTGTTTGACGAGGCTGATACACATCAGTATGCTGTGCTATCTCACCTCACCCTTGATGTTTAATCCTTTTACTAAAGAATTTTTCCCCACTGTGAATATTTAATAGTCTCTTGTCTTGTCCTAATTCAATGATAACACCTGTTCATTAGCGACGCACATTTATTTGCACACACACATACAAGGGTCGTGCACCATTCACTATTAAAAATGACAATACCTTTGGATTCCAATTCAATTTCTGAATTTGAATCGAATTCTACTATTACAATTAGGAGGCAGAATTGCTACTATTACAAATAGGAGGCAGTTGAATTTCAGTTTGAAAAGAAATAGTTTAAGGAAAGTAATTTAAGGAAATTAAAATGGAATGAAATTCAAATAAATTATAGGAACAATTATCTATACTACCAATAAAAAGTTTTTTTATTTTTATTATATTATTTTTAAAGAAATTATTTGATTCAGCAAGGATACTTTAAATTGATCAAAAGTGACAGTAAAGACTTAGATTCTATTTAAAAATAAATATTTCAAATAAATGCTGTTGAACTTTAAGAATCTTAAAAAACGTATCACAGTTTACACAAAAAAATATTAATATTAAGATAAAAATCTTATCTTAAAATAAAAATATTAAGCAGCACAACTGTTTTCAACATTGATAATAATAAAAAAATGTTTCTTGAGCAGCAAATCAGCATATTAGAATGATTTCTGAAGGATCATGATACTGAAGACTGAAAGCTTTTTCATCACAGTAATGAATTACATTTAAAAATATATTAAAATAGAGCACAATTATTTTAAATCGTAAGTAATCATATTTCACAAGATTTTACTGTATTTGGATCAGTAAATGCAGCCTTAAGAGCATAAGCGACTTTCTTATTTTTGGATGAACAATTTCTTTTTAAATCCAGAATTTTGCTTGTTTATTTTATGAGTATGTACCACAAATGACTTCTGACTCTGAAGAAGACGCATGGGCGTCGAAACGTTATTCATTCTGTACAAATAAAAATAATTTAAACGTTCTGTGCTCCGGTCCTGCTCCTTGGTCCTAGCTAGACCTTGGGTCCTTTTTCCTATGTACCACAAATGTTTAACTCTATAAAGATATTTCTGTTTTATTACAGGTCCCAGACACAGCATTTGCTCTTCAGCCAGTTTCTGGAGTACCGTTCCCCCTTCAGAGAGCAGCTGGACCACCCAATCAGAGGAGCAGAGCTCCGTGAGCATGGGGGCGTCTTCCTGTGACCTGCCCTCTCTTAGCACCGAAGAGCCACCCAGTCAAACACCCTCCTGTCCTCACTCTCCAAGTGAGTACCACACACACAGTCTATACTAGTTAATAAATTGGTAACTCTCATCATCTGAACGTCTGCAAGTGGCGGTTTTATATTCACCCAATGCCTCAAACAGTAATCAAAGTCTGTCCCCTCGTGACAGAAGGAAGTGAGAATCGCACAGGAAATGCTTCACACGCTGAATTATCCATCAATAAATCCCTTCCGTTGCTCAGCACAGCCTCCAGGGTCGCATCCAGGAACACAGGCGGAATGAAAAGACGGCAGGTTTAGGAGTAAATGATGAAGGAATCGGGACAAATAAATTCTCGCGGCCTGTGACAGCTGCTCCTCAGATGCTCCTCTCGTGTGAGTGATGGTGGCTCTGAAGGAACGCTGTGCTGATTTGAGGCAGGACGCTCTCTCTCTCTCTCGCAGGTAATTTGCGGCGGAGCGGGTAGCGCTCCTACACGATCCATCTCAGGCCTCTCGCCTCAGCCCTCCAGCAATAGCTCACTCAGACCAGGGTTTCTATGGAGACAGGAGAGGGTGAGGTGCTTAAGACGGTTTTATTTATTAAAATGCAGCATGCTTCATTTCTCAGACTGAGGGAAGATGAAGTCACTGGAACAGAATTTTCACCTCAGGGAGAAGTGAATAGCAGTGCATGATACTGAGTGTTAGTTAAAGCAGATGCTACACTAAATAGTCAACTGTGTAATTACGACAAGCTGCATTAGAGTTTTATCATAAAAAGATTTGAACATTCTTTAAAAAAGAATATAAAAAAGATTCTTCACTTTTTTCTTTTTATTTGTAAGAATGTACACTATGCAATTTAAAAGTTTGGGGTCAGTAAGGTTTTTAAAAAGAAATTGAAAACTTTGTAGTCAGCAAAAATGCGTTAAATTGATCAAAAGTTACAGTAAAGACATTTATTATGTCAAAAAAGATTTCTCTTTTCAAATAAATCCTGAAGAAAGTGGTTTCCACAAAAATATTAAGCAGCGTGACTGTTTCAACATTAATAAGAAATCTTTCTTGAGCATCAAATCAGCATATTTGAATGATTTCTGAAGGATCATGTGACACCGAAGACTGGAGTAAAATTCAGCTTTGTCATCACAGGAATAAATTACATTAAAAATAGAGAATATTTCACAGTTTTACTGTATTTTTTTATCAAATAAATATGGCCTTGGTAAACAACAGACTTCTTTCAAAAACATTAAAAAAGTCTTACTGACACTAAACTTTAAATGGTAGTGTAAGTCTACTTTAAGTTACTTTGGATAGTAGCATAACAGAATGAATAATCTGTATATAATAATAATCTGAATAATAATCAAACTACTTTTGTACTTTTCTTCTGAAGAATATGCGAGTAGAAAAAAGGTGTTCTGAGAGGTTGCTTGCTGTTGCTTTCGGTTACATTAATGCTAGTCTCTGGTCTCTTGATATGACTTGGGTTGCTCCATGGGATTTTTTTTTTTCATCCATTGTATCGGCCAGATGTCGGCATACCTGTCCTCAACAAACCTGAAGATTTGAGGTGTCATTCATGCCTGTAGTACAAATAATCTACATGCTCATAACACATTTGCAATTGTAATAACAATCATCAAGTCTTTGTAGAAGCATTTGGTTTTTTTTGGATTTTCCATATGGCCTGTCTATGAGAGACACCATTAGACCTACCCACAGGCCTTTGCTCCTGCTCTCACTATGTTGAAATCTTGGCAGCAGGGTGTTGTTCTGTTTGTTTTCCTTTCACCATGTGACCCATGGGTGTTGGTCCATGATTGTTTATTTACATCTGAATTGAGGGTAAATTTGCTTGTAATTGCTGATTATTTGTGTACATAGTCCGCTGTAATTGTTTGACCTGCTTTCACTGTTTGTACACATTGCACATCAACATTTTATTTTTCTAGTGAATGTTCTTGGCTTGTGTTGTGTGTACTTTAAGCACTGTATGCCAAACGTTTTCTTTAGAGGGATTCTTTGTCTGTGATTTACAGCTTTTATTCATGAATGAAACATAGTTAGCTATGAATGTGTCATTGTAAGTCGAGAGACTATCGGACACGAGTGAATATGAATATTTATGCAGCAAGGCAGGTCTTTATGAAAGCTTTCTGATGGGACGTGCAGTGTATAAAGGATATACAATGCACATTTTCATTTCCTTCTTATTCCATTTCCGGTGCTACATAAGAATAGTGTTGTTCATAGAGATGCATTGGGTGTGTGCGCTCAAGAGAGAAAGAGAAAGACCTTGTGTGTATGTGGTTTTGTCATATCCAGTGGAGCCCACACAGAAGGACATTGTCGTCAGTTTACAAATCTCTACAGGGAACAGCAGAAGTAAACTAATCTCTGATCAGTAGAGGTTATGGAGTAGAGCAACAGCTTGTTTAAGAGCACATCCTGCTGGGAATCTTGCATGCTTCCTCACCGTCTTTGACCTTTGACCCCTGCAAATGTCCTCGCAAAACACTCGCCTCCTGTGATTCACACCTGCAGCTATCACTCCATTTCACATTATTGGAAAGATCTGCCTGCTTCTCACCAGCATAGTTTGGCAAGTTTCAAGTTTTTTTTACTTGTTTGAAATAAATAGCTTGAGGGTTTAAAATGAAATATTACAGTAAGATTGCCAATCTTGAGATCAATACATGTATTTGATGTGAACAATAATCAGTTTAAATGGGTGTAGTAAATTCTGCTGTAATCCCCTGTTAATGCTCTGGGTTTGTTTAAAAGGACTGATCTGAAACCAGCAAAATAAAGGTCAGTAGCTCAGTGCTGAAAGGATTGTGCGATCTCAAAGCAGATCAAGACATCAGGGCAAACACAAGCTGTCACCCATTTGTCTCAAGTCTTAGTTTGCAGTCAGATGCCGGTTGACTTGCACATTTTATAGCTGTATGAAAATAGTTGTTTGTTGCACACCATCATGTTATTGATGAGTCAGTTTCTGCATCACATTTCCACATACGGTAATGTCTTCTCTTTTATATGACACATAATCTGGATATTCATGGACATGGTTACAGACAAACATGAGAGAGCTAAATGCGGGTGACTTTCTGACCTTGTTTCCCACCAGTCGTATTTTTAAAGACTGCATTTCTGTGTTGTGGTGTGGCAGAGTTTCTGTAAAGACAGCTATATGTCAAATACTTCAGACTCCTCCTGAGAGGGAGGCAGGCAGATCAACAGGCATCTACATGTCTGTGCGGGCACTCCACGGACAGAGGAGGTCATGTGACCTGCTTCTTATTGCTTGGTGCCTTAGTGAAATCTCACAATCGGTGTCCCATCTGTTTTCTCTCTTTAGCACCTGGACTCTTGACTGCTGTACTGGTGAGTCTCTTTCCCTGCACTGTTGCTTTGTGGCAGGCTTTGCATAGAGTGTTTGTATAAAAGTTTTGAATGACTTTGGCTTATAAATGCTTCTGGATCAACATTGTTGCGATAGGAGTTTTGATTTTCACCATTCTTCCTTCCTCTTTTAAGAAACATATAACATGGGCATCTTTTATTGCTGATTAAGCATGCATTCATCTTTCAATTCTGTATTTTAAGATTTAAGTTTGTGTAGTTTGTTTAAAAAAAGAAGCGGGGTGCGAGTATTTGTTGGAATCCCACTTGGCATAGCTTATACAGCTTTAGGATCAGCACTCTATTTGTTAGAAGTTTGAAGAAATACCAGTAAGTTGATGCTTAGCAACAGGCTTTTGCTTTTTTATGATTTACTCAGTAGAACGGAGTAAACTAACTTGAGCAGTTTTGCTTAAGCAAATTGGTCATGTTTTAAGGATGTTTATAGTACTATTATTATTATTTTACTGGAAAAAAATATATACTGAATAAGAAAACAAATTTTGCAGAGTTTACGTGTGTTTTGCAATTAAACTGCAGCTTTGTTGGAAGAAAAATATTGATAATATTGTCAATTTGTTTGTTTTTTTGTGTGAATTTAACTTGAAGTTGGTTGGACCTTGAACCTTTCTGATGGTTACAATTTGTATCTCACCCTCTGGCTGATTTGATGTAGCTCATGTAAGAACATGAACAAACTTGCTTTGAAGGTGTGCAGATTCTGTTCATAAGTATTCATGTTCGGGGCATTGCATTCACTGGAATATTTTTTTTCTGAGCTGGGATAATCTTTTAACCTCCTTCCTCCAGGGCTGACAAGATCTGAGTCTTGAGGTCTCTTTATGTCTGTGGTTGCTTCTCTGTGTGCAAATGTTGTGCATTGTAGTCTTTTATTACTTTCTGTTATAGGAACTGTTTCAGTTGAGTAGATTTGTAATGTGATAAACCCTGTTGAACTAATATGAGAAGATTAGCAAAGCCACAAGCCATAGCGCACACACTCTCACATTAAATAGTAAATGTTTTAAGAGACTGGGAAAAGGTAGCCTGAACAATTCAAGTACACATTATTAGCTGTTTATGGATTTTGCTCTATAATTCTATTACAGATCATAAAAAGGGTTGTTTGTGGCTTTTGATTTGGTCTATAATTCAATTTCAGATCATATCATTGCTGTTTGTGAATTTGCATGTCAAAGTCTGGGAGTGCATATATGCTCTCATTGCATAGTGCAGTCATGCCAGTTTTCAGCCTGTGAGACAGACCATTCACTGAGTGCTTTGTTGCATTGGCAGAGAAAGTAGGTCTGAGGTGGGGAATGCTGGTGCCTAGCAACAGGTAAAGACTCTCTCTCTCTAATTTGGCATTGGAGAACTGGAACAGACAAGAGTTTGAGCTTGATTTTAAAGTACCAAGAGAGCAGAAGGATTCATTAATGAATGGATGATCATTTTTTTTTATCACTCTTATTTATGCTTATTTGCCTAAGGTACATTTATAATCAGTGTCTCCTTTTTAAATTAAACTTGTTTACATGACATTAAAAAAAAAAAATGACTCTTTTAGTGTGAAATCAATCTTTTGAAATGCATATAATCGTACTTACCGAGTCAAAATGAAGGCTGTGTTGAACTGTTGCTTGGGAATTACTATAAATTATTAAATAATTGTGGATTAGGGTAAACAAAAACGGTAATAATTTATGTAATGTGATAAATAGTCAAATTATTCACAGCTACATAGGGGAATTTCATAAAGTAATGCAAGCTCTTGATCTTGGTGTAACTATAAAGATCTGTGATCTTGGTGTAACTATAAAGATTTTTTTTTGTCCTAGTGCAAAAAAAACCACAACTCTCAGACTGAAAATGTATTTTTCGTAAAGTCACTTACACCTCTTGTTATGAAATATTAATATATCTGTATTGAAAATAATGTGTAGCATGTGAAAAGAGAGTGATTGTATGTATAAGTACTTGTGAATCGTAGTTGATTAGAAGCTGTCTCCCTTCTGTTAGTGGAAATGTCTTTCTTTCCAGCTTTTTTCTTTATTTAGACCTAAATAGTCCAACCATTGTGACTTTTCAGAAATAGGTTTCAGAAATAAACTCAAAGGGCAGTGGAAACACCAAGGATGTCATCCATTTTCTTGTTTATTGCATTGTCTGCCTCTCATAAATATGACATGTGCCTTCGTTTCTGTTGATTCCTGTGAGAGAATGCTTCTGTTATAAAAGTATTTATTATTAAATGTCAGAGAGCTCAAATTTGATCTGAAAGTGTTAAAACAGCTCTGTCTTCTTTATTTATTGATAGATTCTTCTGTGTGCCAAGAGGATGAAGAAATAACCATGGATTCGTTCAACTGTACAGCAAATAACCAACACACTAATGGCCATTCATACGTCACCTCCAACCACTTTACCAGTTGGGTTACTTTTGATGATGATGAGGACATCCAGTCTCCAGGGAGACCTTCTAATATAAAACTGGATAATCTCAACAATTCTCCATTGCAGGATGCCAACAGCAACTTGATTTCCTCTTCCATTTTTGGTCAGATGACAGAGAGACGCATCCTGGACTTGGCCCCTAATGGCACCAATTCCATCTTTGCCTTTGATAACACACTATCGAACAACAGTGTCCCTTATAACAAGAAGAACCCTTTCCTCAATGATGAGTTCTCCGACCTACAACCTTCTCCTATTAACCCTTTCAGTGCCTTTTTTGACAAAACAGACCTGAAAACGTCCAAAGGCATTGGCTTGTGTCCAGAGGCACCGAATAGGTCCAGCTTCAGCTCACCATTCTTTGAGTATCAAGACGATGATATCAAAAAGGAATCTATTTGGATTTTTTCAGCTCAAAAGGACTCTGCATTTGGAAAAGATAGTGTCCCACCAGGCTTTCCTCTGGATGGTCTGGATCAACTCAAGAATATACACATCTCTGACCCTGAACATGACGGTAGTCCTACACTACCAGATGATTCAGTGGATGAAGTTTGCTCAGATGATTCCACCTATGAACCAGACCACATGACTTCCCAGGAAGGCTGGCCCATGCTCCTGCGCATCCCTGAGAAGAAGAACATCATGTCCTCACGTCATTGGGGACCAATATTTGTCAGATTGACGAACAGTGGCCAGCTGCAACTTTTCTATGAGAAAGGGCTGGAAAAGCCCTTCAAAGAGTTCCAGCTGAACTCCCAGCATGAGATATCTGAACCCAAGCTCCAGAACTACGACGAGAACGGCCGGGTTCATACCATCAGTTTAGACAATGTGGTTTACAAGGAGAAGAGGAAGATCCAGCCCAAGGTCACTGTGGTTCATTTGCCCGTAAGAGAGCAAGTGGTGAAACTTGGGACCACAAACTACCAGGACTTCTTGAGCTTTCGTCATGCTCTGCAAGAGAGGCTTGTAGGACTCTCAGTGGATCAAGAAGGTCTCAACTGGCCAACGACTTACACTGACGAGGAGGTCCACGTGGAGGTGAGAGATAACTTTTATGGGATTCTGTCCAAAGGGGACGGCCGTATCTTGGAGCAGCTAGTTTTGAGCCGAGTGAACATGCTAGCATTCTTGAATGGATCTCCACCTTGTAGTATCGGCCTAAATGATGTCCAGGTCAAAGGTAAAGAGGTGGTTTCTCGGCATGACATAATTCCCAACACAACATCACGTTGGATTCAACTGCGGGATTGTCGACTGCATGAGTGTGCAGACCAGTTAGAGTTCACAGAGTCCCGTGCCATTACGTTTAGTCCACCGGTTGGTCGTCGCTTTGAACTACTGTGTTTCCGCACTGCGTTCGCAGAAAAATCCCTTCCCTTCACCCTGAGAACAGTCGCTTGCGTCAGGGGTGCGGAAGTGGAGGTTCAGTCCTGGCTGGTGATGTCAACGGGGTTCACATCCAATCGGGATCCTTTAACTTTAATACCATGTGAGAACGTTGCTATCCGTTACCCTATACCAGAAATTTGGGCAAAGAACTTTAGGCGGGAGAGTGTGACGGGAGAAAAGTCCCTGAAGGCTCGATTCAATAAAGGAGCCAGCTTTGGTTCAACCAGCACATCAGGGTCCGAACCAGCCATGAGGGTCACGATCGGCACAGCTAAATACGAACATGCCTTTAGGTCTGTGGTGTGGAGGATCAGTCGCCTGCCAGACAAGAACTCAGGTGAGAACTTAGGTCTGAGTTTGAGGTAGCTATGGGGTCAAATTGTGAGACAACAGGAATTATCTTGGCCCTTGAAAAAGTTTTGAACGCAGGAAGGTATCCTCGGTTGTTTCGAAGTTTAAAAAGTAGTTGAGAAGTCACACAATGATTGTGTTTTCACAATGAATCAATTGCTACCACTGACAGTACTCATGCTCTTCCCTGTTTTGTTGTTGTTGTTGTTTTTCTTGTCAATTTATTGACCTAAAAATCGAAATAGATTGAGCAGTAGCGTAGAATAGCCATGATGTGCTCTCTACGTTTCAGGTTAAACTGATCTTGTTCTCATCTGTTACTCCTATGCAATATCAAAGCTGTGTTAGAGCTGTTTTGTTTTAGCTGTATTTCATTAGATGGAGGTTAGATCAATCAAGTCAGTAAATGAACCAACAATTTTGTCACTGTGTAATGATTTTTGGCATTGCTCTGTATGAAAGATTAGAAATTATGCCAATATTTGAGAACGCTACTCTTATTTTAGTGTGTTTTTCTCTATTATCATGATTAGAATATTAGTATAGATAGTAGATTAATGCTTTTTATGTTTTGATGCTGCTGAATAAATCCTCACAAACCCCCAAATCACAATGCTGCGGTCCCAAGCCATGCCTCTAATGCAGTATTGACTCTCAAAGCAAGTGCGGTGGTGTAGAAATAATCTTTTATCCTTTTTGTTGATTTTCTGTTGTCATAGCGTTTGCATTGTGGCCAGTGCTGGTATTTTTTTCTGTCAATGGCCAGTGCTTTAGGCTTTTCAATAGTACATCAGCAGGGATCCCCTCCCCCTGCATGAATCTGATTGGTTAGACAAAGCTCAAGCTGTCATTATCTGTTAATTCACAGACTCACTGTCTTGACATCCTTGAGCTTTACAATTCAGTGCAATTCTTTCTCTCTCTGTTCTCTGAAGTAATGTATCAAGTAATTTAAAAAAAAAGAGTTAATTTACTCACCAACATGTCCTTCCAAACCCGTATGACATAATTTTTATAGACCATAAAAGGAGATATTTTGAAGAATGTCTGTCAGGCTCCTAAAAGGACAAAAAACACTATATAAGTATCATAAAAGTAGTTCATATGACTCATGAGCTATAGTCTTCTGTAGCCGTACCATAGCTTTACAAGAGCAATGTTAAAGGATATGTTTAGGTTTAAGTTTAAACATTCACTGAATATTAGTATTTTTTGCATATTCAAATATGTGTCGCCATCAAGATGAACATAAATGGCCTCACTGACATCAAGTCTGGCACACCTGACATTTCTTGAGTTATCTTCAGTTCATTTTAGCAGAATCGAGGCCAGTTCTGTGCTAATGATAAATTATACATTACGCAGCTCGGGTCCTTCATCTAAAAAGCCATGTACTGTAGTAATTTGCATTCGTTAATTATTTGCTTTAATATTGCATACATTACATTAATATGGTTGTGGATGGTATTTTTCGTAGCACTGGGACATCCTCATACGTTCTTCTGTCGTCTGGAGCTGGGATCAGATTGGGAGGTGCCTCCTAAGTTTGAGTGCCTGGTAGAGGTTGAGTTTGACATGCCCTCTGCTTCTGCGTCCAAAGCCACCGTTCGCTCTCTGTCCGTGGGGGACAGAACTGACTTGAAGAAATGGATCACCTACAAATCACATTACTCCTATCAGGTAATTGTGTGTGTGTGTGTGTAAGGAGCAGTCAAACTAACAAAACTTTCCACACCTTAGGGGTACACTGTGCCACTTTGAATCAGTATAAATATAATACGAATTTAATGCATTTTTAAATAAAAATATGAACATTTTAAAGTGATTTATTAATGCACAATCCAATGTCTTATTTTGCTCCAGATTACTCAGATTTTCATTAACCAGCCACAAAATAGATTAATATTAATTAATACATTTTATTTATAATATGTCAGTGCATTAGTTAAAGTATTTGTAATAGTTTTAATATAAAGGATCAGTGTAAAATATAAAATATGTATTTTTATATATAACATAATTTAAAAGTGCTCAATCGTAGGTAGTTATATATGATTGGTTCTTTCTAATACTGTATACTGTATACAGTGTATAGTGTCACATCTAGCACGTTTGCTAGATTAAAGGTTGGCACATCTTACCCCACTGACCCACTCCCCACTAAATATGTGTTAGCGCAGTGAATAAAGCTTTGTTTATACCTTGTTAGATTTTATACACCTGTCCTCACCCTCAAAATCACACTTTAGGAAACCGGTAATTTAATCTGGTTATTTAGTGGGGATTTTCAAACCCTTCGGGACGGGTCTAAGCTAAATGTCATGTACCCTTGTGACAAAGCCACTGAAAGACAAGTTGTCACCCTCAAGCAACCTGCTATGTCAGCTGCCAGAGCTTGTTTTCCCTACTGCATTCCGAACATGTCATTAAGGTGGCTGGAGCTGTTTTCTACAAACATCTGTTCCTATTACTGTTCAGCAGCCACAGGGAGTGATTCATCACTGAGCAGAGGTGCGCAACAAACAGCAGGGCGGCAGGAACAAGATGTAAAACTCTGCCTGTAACCTCCGTATTGGAATGACAGCGAAACCTGCTGATGAAGCATCTTGCTGCATATGATAAATGCATCATAGCTGCATGGCAGGACAGTGGCAGAAGGTGTCTGAACCCCAGTGAGGTCAGTCATGGGCAGATTGAAATGAGATGAGCACGTGGAAACAGGTGATGCCTGAGATTAGGTCGTTCCCGTTTTCACTAGGTTATTACTCCCAAATTCCTTGCCTTGTAATCGACTGCCTCCTTGTGGCAAGCATTTGCTACTACTCAACTACTCACTTGCACTTGCTTCTGTTGTCCTGTAGGTGGCAGTCGAGCAGAAGAATGAGAGCACATTGGACAGTCCTCAAAACGAGAAGCCAGACGAGTGCACTCATCAGTGAGGAACCAGGAAGAGAGGGAGGGTCACAGGTTGCACTTGTTGAACGAGAGAAAGTTCAACCCTGAACTAGTTTTCGTTTACATTTATATTTTGAAATTGAAACATATTCAGTAAGAATGATATATAGAAAGGGAAAACACCACAGACCCCTCGCAAAACACTACAGCATATTTCCAGATCTCCACATTTGTTGCATGTCTAAATATTTCAAGAATATGAATTACCATTGCAGCAAAGTACAGAGCTTTTATTTTACAGACATGAAAACATTGCTCTGCCCATATAGTGAATAACTCACAACTCACATCTCATTAAGTCCAATAATCATCTTTGCCTGAAACAATACAGCTGCCATCTGTACTGCAGATATCACTGAGATTTTGTGTACATTTGTGTATATTTTGGCCTATGAAGAGTCATTTGTGTAGGGTTACCGGGTACATTTTCTTGCTATTTAACTTTGTACAGAGAACAATGAGGGACTCGAGGGACATTTCCGAACTGTTTTTAATTAGAAGACAAATAAGTAACTCACTAATTTCTAGTTAAAAATAAATGCTTTTATAATGTAATATACATGTATAATGTATAAACTAGTACAAATGTACTAGTGATGCGAATTGTTTACCTTAGATTTGTGTTCATGAGTCTATTAAAAGCACATTTTAATTAATTTTTATGAATATATTTGAATTCCATTTACAGGCTTTTTTTTTTTTTTAGATCAACAAAAATTCCAAATGAAAATATAATTCACGTTCAATTGATCTTCAATCTTGAATTCAAATTTTGCCAAACAATGAATTCTTAAAGCAGAGTATTCCTGTGAGGGGAAATAGATCATGTATGTCGAATACCCTGTACTTTGCACATCTTGTTGAGTTTAAATGAGTGTTTTTTTTTTTTTTTTACTGAGTTTAACAATTACTTGAGTTCAAAATGACTAAAGGGGGTTTACATTTTGTGTTAAACTATTGAAAACTGCTGTAATGATGTCTTTAGTTTTTTTTTTTTTTTTTTTTTTGTGCTTTGAACTATTTTTCTTCACAATTCTTTTCTGGTGTACTGCATCATTTAACAAATGGTTGTTGACATTATACTGATAAGTAATAAGTGTTTAAGATAAATATATTTAAGATAACACTTCGCAAATAATATTTGTGCATTGTATTCATTTCATGTTGTTTTGGTTTCGGGAATCGCAGTTGCTTTGATTGTTCCCTGTCCACAAACCTTGAATGATTTAAAAAATATATATAATGTATGTTTTAATCATAATTAAAATGATTATGATTTAAGATAGCTTTGTTTTGTCCTGTAACACAGAGGAAAATACTCTTACAATAAGGTTTCATTAGTTAACATGATGAACAAAGAATGAACAATACTTTTACAACATTTATTAATCTTAGATAACGTTAATTTCAACATTTACTAATACATTATTAAAATCAAAAATTGTAGGTGCATTAAAGTGCATTAACTAATTAACATTAGTTAATGCACTGTGAACTAACATGGACAAACGATGAATAACTATATTTTTTATAAACTAATGTTAACAATGAGACCTTATTGTAAAGTGTTACCGAAATAATTGTTAGTGTCATTAATTGTTTGTCACCCTTCTTTTCAGGATTGATTGTTGTTGTTTTTTTCTGGGTTGGTTTTCTATGATAATGTTAAAAAAAATATATGCTTTGCTAATTGATGTAGTATGGATAGATATGTTTTATTTTTTATTGTCTTCATAATTGTAATTCCACTAACATCAATTATTCAATCAGGCACCTTCATCTCTCAACTGGACGGCATGCATACAATAAAGTATGTTTTTAAAAAAAATGCTACTTGCCGTTTTCCCTCATCTAGCTTATATTTTGATGTTGTGGATGGCATGCCTCATATGCTATATGGTCTATGCTTTTTGTCTTAAGTTTGAAATGAAAACATTTGCCATATGATCACAATATAATAATGCATGATTTTCGATCAACAGACATGCTCATTAACCTTTTAGCTAAATGTATGAACTACAAGAGTAGTCAGAAGAGCAGAAACATTCACAACTCTCACATTTGTACTTGGATGCTTTATCACTCTCCAAAATACTGTCAGGTGCTTCACCAGAGTTGCTCTACTTCTGATTCAGAGGTCTTTGACCTTTTTCACAACCAAAAAAAAAAAACATATTGCATACAAGTGAATGCTAAATGTTTTATGCCTGGTGTAATGTATTGACTGCCTATTGTAAGAGTGAGGTTCCTTTAAGAGGCTAAAAGCCTGGGGAGGGCGTGGCTGTTCTGGGGTGGAGATGTGTTTTCGGGCAGTGTGTTTCCGGGAGTTGATCAAGCTAGATGTGGTCTATGTTATATGCTGCCTTGAGTTCAGTAAAGATTTACAAGATTACGAACGTCTTCTCTTGTTCTTCAAAGATATAACACTGGCGACGAGCGGACTCGAACCGACTGTGTGCAGATAAATCCATATGATGCGACTGTGAAAGTGAGTGAAAATAATCTGCATCTGGAAGCGAACATGACTACACTCGGCCGTATCGAAGAGTTTGACGAAAGTTCGAGTAACTCTTTTGAAGAATACACAGAACGACTGGAATGTTTTTTTCATGCAAATGATATTGAGGATGATGCAAAAAAACGTTCCGTTCTGCTCAGTGTGTGTGGTGCAAAAACGTATTCCACGTTACGTTCAGTGCTTGCCCCAACGCAGCCCTCTACTTTTATTTTTTATTTTTATTCTTCAACATCACAAACAAACAAGGTACATGAACAAATCTCTGAAAATAACCTCAATTGTTCAGCCTTAGGTTGAGCATCGCTTGTACAGAAAAAAAAAACAGACTAGAACAAACAAATAATTAAATAAAGAGCAATACAAAAAAAAAAGAAAAAAAAAAGAAAAAAAAAAAAGGGACTTTTAAATTAATTTAAACATATCCAAAAAAGATATCAATTTAAGGGCTTTCTGATTTTTAACTAATTTTAAAGATTTGCACAAGAGTTTAACCTCATTCATCCAGTGATTAAAGTTGGGTTTAGATTTAAACCATCTGCATTTGTGTATGAAAAACTTTCCAAAATATAACAAGAAATTAATACCAAAATCACAATCTTTGTTCTCCAGACACACACCAAACCTAATCAACTTCACCGTGAGAGGTGGGAGTTCAACCCTCCTAGACCTTAATCTGCTCCTCACTCCAAAAGGGTTGCACCATATCACAATCAAAGAAGACATGCTCTAAATTCTCAATATTTTTTTCACAAAAAACACAATTATTCACCTCAAAATTAAATTTCAATCTTAAAAATTCATTAGTAGGATAAATCTCGTTTAAAATTTTGAAGTTCACCTCCTTAGCTTTAGGAGGAAGGGGAAAAGACAAATAATTTTTCCTAATTTTTTTTATTTCAACCGTATCAAAATCTTTAAGCACGTAGTGCCGTCTAATTGGGTTTGGGTAATTAGCCTGTAAAATAAAATTTCTAATAACTTTATTTGCACATTTTTTATCACAAAAATCATAACCTTCTAAGGAGAGAGGTCTCAGTTCTGGGGAGATTTGGGAGTACAACATGTCTTCTTTAACCATTAGTCTTAAAGGAATTGGTATGGCTCTAATCATTCTATTAAAAATATTAACGGTACACTGTACTTGGAATTTCTCACAAAACTCTCTATAGAGTAACAGATTACCATTATCATCCAAGAAATGGGCAATAGCCCAAATCCCTTTAGATTTCCATTCCTCAAGATATACAGATTTTCTGCCAAACTTTATATATCTACTATTCCAAACTGGAGTGTTGTGAGGCGTGAAGTTATGTTTGAACAATCGTTTCCAATAGAGCAGCACTTGCTGATGAAAGGCTGAAAGTTTAACTGGTAACGAGGTGCATTTTAAAATCACAACATAACAAAAAATGTATTCCCCCCAGTTTGTTAAAGATCGCATTGGGGACAATAAACCAAAAGGAGTGGCTATTTTGAATGAAGGATTTTAACCATTTCAATTTCAAAACACCATTCATAATGTCAAAATCGATCGCATTCACCCCACCATCTTCATATTTTTTTATCATGTCATCCTTTCTTATGTACTGACATTTATTTCTCCAAATAAATTTAAAATTCACCTTATTTATTAATTTAATCATTCGTGATGATATGGGCAAGGAGAAGGCTGGATAGATGAGTCTGGACAAACTATCCATTTTAGATAAAAGAACCCTTCCAAATATTGTAAGATCCCTCTGCAGCCATCTATTTAGTATGGACTTACATTTATCTATGTTATTCAACACGTTTTTATTCTCCATAACATCTTTATCTTTAGAAATAATAATCCCCAAATATTTAACTTCCCTTTTAATTTGTATATTAGATAATGACTGCAAAGGAAACTCATGTAATGTTAACATTACACATTTGTTTAGGTTTAAATGTAGCCCCGAAGCTTTAGAAAAATGGTTAATAGACTGTAAAGCTAGTGGAATTTGATATTCATTTTTTAGAAACAATGTTGTATCGTCAGCAAATTGACTTATAATTATATGACTATCCAACACTGTAAGACCTTCAATACCATTATTTTTAATCAATATCGATAATAACTCTGCAACCATTATAAATAATAATGGAGAGCTACCACATCCCTGACGAATCCCTCTTTTAATTGAAAATCTTGAGCAGGTTCCATGCCCTAGAGCTACAGAGCTATTGATTCCGTTATATAACATTTCAATTAAATTTATAAATTTTACTCCAAAACCAAAATTATGTAAGGTTTTCAAAATAAAAGGATGCTCAACAGCATCAAAAGCTTTATAAAAATCTAAAAAAATAAGAAACCCACTCTCTTGAACCATTTCACTATAATCGAGTAAATCTAGAACCAATCTAATATTATTATGAATTGACCTTCCTGCCAAAAACCCTGATTGTGTCTCACTAATTATAGTAGAAATACCCTTTTTCAGCCTAGCAGCGATAGCCCCAGAAAAGATTTTATAATCAATGTTAAGCAAAGTGATAGGCCTCAGATTGTCTAAGACTCTTTTATTTTTACCAGCTTTTGGAATCAGTGTAATCAAACCTTGCTTCATACTTTCAATCAACTCTTTTTTTTCAATACCTTCTTTAAGGGCACAGAAAAATAGATTTCTCAAATCTCCCCAAAAAATTTTAAAAAAATTATTAGTGAGCCCATCTGTCCCTGGGGATTTGTTTAAAGGCATCTTCTCAACAACTGAATCCAATTCTTCTATTTTAGGAATATAATTTAGAATAGAACTGAAACACTTCTTTTTCAATTATTTTATAATCTTTGCATTCCTCACCTTGAATCATTAAACTACTGACAGAGTTCCTTTGCTGTCTATTTTTTTCTAAATTACAGAAGTATGAAGAGTTCTTTTCACCTTCCTCAATCCACTTAGCGCGCGATCTTATATAAGC